CTTCCTTTTTCTCGATAACATCAACTTCATTCTACACAATTAGAAAGAAAAAATTAGACATGTCTCCACAAACATAAATAAGACTAATTGTTTTGAATATTAAATATACCTAGAAATTAATTATATGGGTGCGGGCGGATACCCATGGGGCGGGTTTACCTAAACTCAAACCCAACCCGCTAAATAGTGAACGGGTTTAAACCCAAACCCGTCAACACGGATTTTACCCGCGTTGACCGGGTTGGGTCGGGTGGGTACCCGTGGGTTCGGATTTTATTGTCATCCCTAAACTAATACAATAACCAAATTAACCAAACTAAAATTTAATCGGTTTGGTTAATTGGTTAACTAAAATAACCAATATAACATCACACTATTATTAAGTGAGAAATTTTCTGGTTAGTGCATCAATTCGCCATTTATATAATGAATAACACATATCAATCAACACATAATTATAGCTAACCCTTTACATAAATATATGCAACAAATACAATTATCTCCCTTAACATAAATACATGTAACAAATACAATTATTTTACATTCGACTATTAAGTGGTTATTTAAAATATTAAGTATGTGTATATAATATATATATTAGATATATGGCTAATTATTTAACTGGTTAATTTGGTTTGACTGGTTAAAAGTGTCTAAAACCAAACAAAACCAAACAAACAAAAATATTTAATAAAAACAAACCAGTTAACCAAATTAATAAAACCAAATTGGTCAAATACTACTTGTTAAAACAGTTACCACAGCAAGGAAAAAATCCCAATGTACACATGTTCTTAAAAAAATTCCCAAAATACATAAGTTATAAAAAAAATTCCCAAAGTACACATGTTTGGCATTCACCGTTTTTGAAAAACGCAGTGAAGGTAATCACCGCGTTTGACAACGACGGTGAAGGGTTCACCGTTTTGGTATAACACGGTGAATCAATCACCATTTTGGTTTAAAACGGTGAATACTTCACCGTTTGAGTTCAAAACGGTGAAGCGACGCGGATCGCTGACGTGGACAAGCGCGATGTATTCACCGCGTTAGACAAACACGGTGAATACACCGTGTTTGTTTACGTCAGCGATCCGCGCCCATGTGCTTTCACCGTGTCCGTTGGATGCGGTGAGGAGTGTATCGTGGTTTTCTTCCCACGATCCGACGCCTCACAGCACGCCACGTCCCCTCTTTCGAGACCGTTTTCGGGAAAAGCGATGCCTTCACCGCGTCCCTCAAACACGGTGAAGGCTCTCCAATTAAATGCACGAGCAGCTCCTCCCCCCTTCCCCCAACTATAAATAACACTCCCCCTCCAACATTCAACTCACACCACAACCATTTCACTTCTTTCTCCCTCAATTTATCCGCTCTAGTCTCGTTCTAAGTATGCTCTGTGGTTGCGGCTAAGTCCGATCTTCCACATCAGAAAGAATTACTAGAGTTTGACCCTAAAGCCCCCGTCCCTCTAAGTTCCCATCCCTTACAAACCTAAACCCGTCGAACCTCTGTCCGGCTTCCGCCAAAAAATGGACGAAGAAGCTCTTCGTGTAGGTTTTTGGTTTATGATTTTTTTTTTAATCGAAACAATTTGATTTTGTGTTTTTTTTATCAAAACAATCTCTGATTTCATTACTTTTTTATAGATGGGTGCCGAGATATACGATCCTCGATTGTATATCCATTATGGCCCAAGGGATGCGAGTCTCTTAACTGATCAAGAAGCTCATCACTCCCGTGCTATTTGGGATAACAATCCGGTAATTTGATGAGCATTCTTGCTTTATTTTATTATTTTCTAAGGTTTTATTTTGCTTTATTTAATCTAATAAATTGATGTTTTCCCTATTTTTTTAGGAATCTCTTGTTCTCGTGGTTCATAAAGGGACCAATAACTTGCCCGCTTGGCATCCAAGGTTGGAGCCCTATATAGCGAGGACCGGTTTGGGAATGTTGCGCCATTTCTTGCGGATCGAAATCGACAACGATCTGCTTACGGCAATGGCGGAACGATGGCGTCCCGAAATCCATACGTTCCACCTTCCGGAGGGGGAAATGACGATCACCCTCAAAGACGTGGCGATCCTCACCGGGCTGCCTATTTCTGGGGATGCCATCATTGGTCCCACGACCAAACCCGAAGGAGGTTGGGGGCCGCTCATACGTGATCGTTTGGGCTTTGACATGCCGACCACCAGTCCAATTCAAGGACGGGGGCATCCACCCGTTGAATGCGGGCCAAGTGTCGGTCCCGTGGCTGGTATCTCACATCGAGCAAGAGGTGGTAATCAATGACGAGACACCGGAAGAACAAGTCGAGCGCTACGCCCGCATCTAGCTCATCGGTTTGGTGGGTGGATTTTTTTTCCCCGACAAGTCCAACCGGTGGATCAAGGCATATGGTTGGATATGCTCACAGGTGACTGGGATGCAATCGGGCAAAAGAGTTGGGGATCGGCCGTGCTAGCGGGCGTATACCGGGAGCTGTGTACTTGCTCGAAGGTTGGGGCAAAGCAAGCTGGTGTTGCGATGTTCATCCTACAACTGTGGGTATGGGAGCATCTTCCAATGTTCGCACCTCTCGACCCACGTCCATACCGGAGAAACGATGATGAGCTAAACTTTCTGCAAAATCTCCCCTACGGTGTCAAGTAAGTTTATTTCGTACTTAGCCCAATTTAAATTTTATTACATGCTTGAGCTAGATTTAAATTGAATTTATTCCGTACTTAGCCCAATTTAAATTTGATTACATGCTTAGCTAGATTTAAATTGAATTTATTCCGTACTTAGCCCAATTTAAATTTGATTACATGCTTAGCTAGATTTAAATTGAATTTATTCCGTACTTAGACCAATTTAATTTATTATATGCTTAGCTATATTTCAATTAAATTGATTCCGTACTTTTACTTACAAGGTGGATAGGAGCAAATACGCTCGTGCTTTTTTGGTTGATGTGCAACCGCTGAAAGGTGAACAAAATCGTAACTGGTCAATACATGATGAATAACATCAGCTTAATAAACACAAACTTAAATCGCATAGGAAAAACATTAGTACCTGCATTCCAAAGTTGATTTTTGATGTCTTTCTTCTTCCCAAATTTGTGCTGGAAATTGGCGAGCCAGTGTCGAATACACCATCGCCATCTCCATCCCCACTCGTCGGGAAAACCACCAACAGCATTCCTAATCACCGCATGTCGATCGGATATAATCGTAATATCAGACCGCTGTGTCACGTGTTCGTGTAGTTGGTCAAAGAACCATGCCCAACTTAAGCTGTTCTCCCCTTCCACTAATGCAAATGCAAGCGGGAAAATCCGCCTGTTTCCATCAACGCCAGTGGCGATTAGAAGACATCCTCTGTACTTCCCAGTAAGGAAAGTTCCGTCAACCTAGATAAAAATTTAGGATATAATTAGCATGAAATATACATAACAGAAAATAATACAACATGTAAAACCCGAACCAGTTGGTAAAATACCTGAATAACCAGTATGCAGAACCCAAAACCGTCAATGCATGGTTTAAAAGCCCAAAAAAGACGATGGAACATCAGCTTCTCCTGTACTCGAACTTGATCCTCAGTGTATACATTGTTGTATACTGGGACGAACACAGTCCCAGGATTGGACTCCTCCATTGCTCCCATAAGTCTAGGGAGTAAAGCATACGAATCCTCCCAATCACCATACACCTCAGCCATGGCTTTCTGCTTTCCATGCCATGCTTTTTTGTAACTTATCGTGTAAGAATGTCTATCCTTCACCTCTGCCATGATAGCTTTCACCTTAATATCTGGTTGTGCTTCTATAAGGTGCTTAATAGTTCTCCCAACTTTCTTTGCTTTTAGTTGCCTGTGATCTTGGGAAAGTATAGACGAGGAGCATGTGTGGATCGTCTCAGCTTTGCGAATCACCCAAGCACCCTTTCTCTTCATATTTGCAGCCCGCAGTTGCCACGTACAACCCTCTACATCATGCTTGCATATGACATGTAGTTGTTTACTGTCAGAATATTTTACCTTCCACTCGAAATTGCGCCTCAACGCCTCTTCTGTAAAAGCATCCTGCACAGCGTCTTTCGATGTGAACGCCATACCCACCTCCAAATTGGCCGTCGGATTATACACTAGCATAGGGACAAAGTCGGGGGGATCATTCTGACTATGTAAAAATTGAGTTGGAACCTGTGTGTAATATGGCGTGGGTGCCTCACGAAATGCCACCTCATCCTCGTTATCATCAGTATCTTCCTCCTCCTCGCTCACTGATCTCAAATCTTCCTCAGTATCCTCGTCGCTCGACTCGAATGGATAGCTCGGGCCAGAAGGATCAACATGACCACGATCACCAACATCGTCTTCTCGCTCATGTGAAGTACGCCCTGATCGAATGGTATTCTCGATTTCAGACCACTCTGGCCCCCAAGCAGGCCATTGAACACCATCGGCCTCAACAAATGGGGTTGGTTGATCAGGTTGCGAGTATTCTTCCGATGACACCCATCCTGCACTACTACCTCCACCGTAGTTGATTGAACCGCCAGCCTCTCTGTAACCTCCTGTATAACCACCGCCTTCGTAGTTGCTCGAACTACGACCCCATCCGTACCCTCCTGCAAAACCATCATCATGAGAATAATGGTGAGAATGAGATTCACCGACTGCCTCGGTCTCAACATACACCTCTGCAAGCCAGACTTGGTTATCGCTTAGGAACTGTAACATCATCGTAACCGCGTCATCATCGTTTATGACAACTTCTTGGAACACGACCCCGCCAGCACTCATGTCTGGATACCGGTAAGTAATTTTGCCAAGTCTCGTCTGTCCGCTCGTACAAACCCTGTCTGCACAAATATCACAGCATAATGGATTCGCCGTCCTCATAATCAATGCCTATGCCTGTGTACTTTGGGAAATTTTTTTATAACTTATATATTTTGAGAATTTTTTTTAAGAACGTGTGTAAAGTGAGATTTTTTCCCCACAGCAACAACAACGTCAATTGAACACCGCTAGTTGCTCTTGCTCACCAATTATTCCAGGGTTGTTTTGCTTTGTTGCTCTCTCCCCTTATTTAGATAAGCAATAACGGGAATTGGGAAGTGGGTGAAACGAGCCAAGCTTAGCTACCTACGTAACAAGTAAAATCACCTGAAGAATCTTTTCCAAAGCCAAAAAATGGTAACATAGCAATCTCATTACAGGATTATACGAATCATACGGGAATTATTTGAATCTACACAAGACATATCATCACCTTCTCTCTCGACAATTACAGGATCAGGGAATCATTAAAAAAAAAAAGACCAAAATATAACATATCGATCCATCGCCTAGCGGTAGTAGGGAAGCCGCACAAATATGAAACGTCAGTTACTCGTCTATGCCTGAGAAGATTCAAACACAAAAAAGTTAGGAATTGTGATACTGAAGCTACCGTTCACACGAATCAGTTGAAACTGTAGGGTATATACCTTGTTTGCAATGTTATTGGACAGCCAATCCAGTCCTTCGTAAAGCCCTTCACCGGATGTAGCACAGGTGCTCTGGATATACCTGAAACAGAATCATCCATTAGTGACGAGCTAGCCATTTCCCTCATTATTGCCCTTCACCAGATGTAGCAGATGTCCACTGGACAAACTTGTGAGAAAAACAAATGTGAAGCCAAACAAAATAGTATACCAGTGGCGCTGACGAAGGGAATGAAGACCGAGCTTATCAGTGATCTCAGCAGCATTCATGGCATTAGGAAGATCCTGCTTGTTTGCAAAAACAAGGAGAACAGCATCCCTCAACTCATCCTGCATATTGGACAGGGGGCAGAAACGGGGAGATTAGAGATGAAAGAACAAGCTTCAATTATGACTTGTGAAAATCAAGCTCAGAGAAATATATATGAACATACCTCGTTCAACATGCGGTGGAGTTCGTCCCTGGCCTCCACAACACGGTCACGATCATTGCTATCAACCACAAAGATCAGTCCCTGGGTGTTCTGGAAGTAGTGTCTCCACAAGGGTCGGATCTGTTGTCAACAACAACACAGTTCATTTACAAACAACATACAATTATAGAAGTCAATGCAACCTACTTTAGCTGCCAGAATCATATACAAAAGTGTGATACATAAAAGCCAAGACAAAAGAAGATGTGAGTAGGAGAATGGCAAACATGTTTGCCACGACATGTACATAGCCTTAACTCCATATGATGGAGAAAAGGCTTAACAGACAAGATGGCTCCAGTCAATGTAGCTTATGATAATGTTGTGTGCTAATGAATTATGTTCTTATTAGCACAAGACCGTCAATAAGCACAAAAGAAGAAAAGCCTGTGAATAGGCAGTAATAATAACGAGGAATTAATTCCAGACTGATCCTCCCATTAAACAAGTACAAGTACAATAGTAACGACTAATGCAAGTGACCAGTAACATGTTTGCCACGACATGGATAGCCCGACCTCATATGAGTAAGGAAAAGCTCGAAAGACAAGATGGCTGGGTCGATGTAGCTTATGATTATGTAGTGGGCTAATGGTTTAATTTAATATTAGCACAGGACCGTAATAAGCATATAGGGTCGTGAATATGTGAAGGCAAAATGATGTAGAGACAGCATTTCCCAACAGCTACTCTCACAGAATGGTGAGAGCTAATTGGTGTTGGTGCATGCAAGTAACCAGGACAAGAATCTGAAGAGATGGTACATCAAATAACATTACCGTACATTGATCAAACATGTAGTCACAAAATAGACATTTCTGCCACAACATGGATAGCCTTTCCTCATTTGATAAAGGAAGAGCTTGAAAGACAAGTTGGCTCTAATTAGTGTAGCTTATGATTATGTTGTGTGCTAATGATTCAGTTTTTTATTAGCACAAGACCGTCAATAAGCACAAAAAACCGCCTGTGAATATGGAAAAACTAAAAAAAGAAGATAACTTAACACAATGGGCACTTACCAAGTGACCAGTACCTATGAAGAAGAAATATTTGCCACAATATGGATAGCATCTCCAAATTTCAAATAGAAAAGGCTCGAAAGACAAGATGACAATCTTCAATGTAGCTTATGAATATGTTGTGTGCTAATGATTTAATTTCTTATTAGCACAAGACCGTCCATAAGCACAAATTGACACATAAAACTCACATACGTACAGTTAAGATATGAAATTTCAGCCACGGAGCTGATAGCCTTATCCCATTAACTGGAGAAAGAGCTGAAGAAGCCCAAACTGGCTCTGATAAATTTAGCTTATGAATATGTTGTGTGCTAATGAAGGCAACTAATCAGCACAAGACCGTCAATAAGCACATTCAGGTTTATCTCAATAAGGCAACATAGCATCAGTTTTCACGATCAAAAGAAGCCTATCTAGAGCACTTAAGTAGACTACATTTACACAACTAGACACTCATAAAAGTTGCAATGCAAGCACAGCAGGCAGAAAAATAGTGTTAATACCAGATTGTCCGTTTCCAAAACAGATGATAACGATGAAGAGTAACCATACCTTGTCCTGACCCCCAACATCCCAGACGGTGAAGCTAATGTTCTTGTATTCCACAGTCTCAACATTAAATCCTGATGACACAGAGCGCAGCATTAGAAACAGTTTAGTTGATTAAATATATTCAAGCTCTACTACTGTGGTTGGCATAAACTAACCGATTGTAGGAATGGTTGTGACGATCTCTCCCAGCTTGAGCTTGTACAAGATGGTGGTCTTACCAGCTGCGTCGAGACCCACCATAAGAATCCTCATCTCTTTCTTGGCAAAAAGCCGGCTGAAGAGCTTCGTGAATGACAGACCCATCTTGTTCTTCTGCACCAAGGACACCGCAAATTAGCGAGCAACAATCAGAAAGTAATAACCCCAAAAAAAATCATAAGCTAAGCTCCAAGCAGCGGCTCTTCTAGTCACAGAAGATAGAAAATTAATCATCAATGAACATTCCTCGCAGGTTGATTGGCTTTTGCCCATTATGATTACGAAATGTTGCAAAGCATCTCATAATGGGGAAACAAGATCTGAATGCACTAATCAAACAATAAAAGCCACTACAGATGCATCCGATCCTTCTATTTCCCCAGGTAACCTAACGAGACTAACGTAACGATGAAGGAGGCATCCAAATGATTCGATTACCAATAAAACAATAATCAATACACCATCCTTCATTAGATAAACACATCAAACGCAATACATTATCGGAGAGAACAAGAAGCCGGCGCGAGCAAAGAACAATAACAACGCATTAGATCTAACGTCGTTACAAAATGAATACGGCAAAAACAATTCCTTTGTCAGCTGTATAGATCGAAGACAGGGAAAATGAATTGTAGATTACATATGACCTGAATCCAGATCTAGCTAGCTATGCGAAGAGTCGATAGAGGGAGGAAAAGAGAGATGCGACTTACTGAGAAACCAGAGGGTGGAGGAGGATCTGGCGAAGGATGAACCGGCCCTTGCCCTAGATTGGATCTCGGAGAAAGGGAAGGAGGAATGGGGGAAAAGGGATGGGATGGGAGAGGGACGACGCGACGGCAATGGGGGGATAAAGAGAGGAGGCGGAAGCGCTACTCACAACAATTTAAATAGGTGCCAGGCCAGGTAGGGGTGGCTATGCGGTCCAGTTCGGTTAAATTGGCTCAAATTGATTCGGTTCAGTTTGGTCTTTTTGAAAATATAAGGATCAAAGATTGGATTGGATACAGTCTGGTCTTTATCCGGTCCGGTCCCAATTCGGTCTTGATTTTATATTGAGCTTGTATGGATTTGAGTGGCCTAACGCCTGAAAGGAGAGAAGTTGGTTAAATTTTGTACTAAGTGCAAAGGTTTGTGATCGTTTATGCAAATTATCCTTAAGTTTTGGGTGTTGAGCTCTCTTATCCAGTCTTTATCCAGTTTTCGATCCGGTCCCGAATGGTTTTTTACCTCAAATCTAAACCCAAAGATTGGATTGGATTGTTTACTATCCGGTCTCGATCCGGGTTATACGGTCCGATTTCGGGTAAAACCAAAAAACCCGGACCAAATAGCCAGCCCTAAGGCCAGGTGCCGACTGAAGCGAATCTGATATCGAATTAGTTAACGTCTGTTTCCCACTGAAGGAATCTTCGTTCCTTCTATATTTTCTGAAATCCCGCTCCTTCTATATTTTCAAGTTTTTACTTTTTAGTTTCTAGGATGGAATACTAAACCAGCAATCCGACCATGAAAATAGTAAGTTTTATGTTTAGGTGACAAATGAATTGAACACGCATTGACTGAAATGCGAGAACTAGAGGGAGAGGACATTGGAGTGGGAGTGGAAGTTCGGTTCAGTTTATTTCGAACCAAACAAACAAAGGCAGTGAAGGTATGGTTGAATTAGGGGTCCCGGAGACGAATGGTTCAGGTGGTCTGGCACTATTTTGGGATTCAGAAGTGGAGCTTACACTCAAAACTATGTCAAAAAATCATATTGATACTACCATTCTCTATAAAGAGATGAATTTGGAGTGGTGATTTACTGGTTTCTATGGGTGGCCGTATAGTCAAGAGAAATATAAGTTGTGGGAGCTCCTATGTCTTCTCCATTCCAGGCTGTCACTACCTTGGCTGGTAGCGGGAGACTTCAATCAAATTATCAGCTTCGACGAGAAAAGAGGCGGCAACATTGATGGTGAAGTTGACATCCAAGATTTCGCAAATGTCCTGACATAAGTGGGCCTTGAAGACCTGGGCTATGTTGGATATCCCTATACTTGGGACAATGAAACAGATGGATCAAGGACAATTGAAGAGCACTTAGACCAGGCTGTAAGTAATTATGATAGGGCTCAAGCTTTCCCAAATACGTTAGTCCGTCATTTAGGGAGGCCGAATTTGGTTCATTGAGCCCTCTGCATTGACACGGGAGGGGACGGATGAGAAGAAATAAGATGGGGGTCTCGTTTCCGATACGAAGCATTCTAAGCAAAAGAAGAAAATAGCAAGCAGGTGGTGGCAGAAGCTTGGTCTTCGGGAGGAAGTAATGACTCAATTGGGAAGCTTCAAAAGTTAAAAATGAAATTGCAGGGCTGGAGCAAAGAGAGATTTGGTAAATTAAAGGAGAGACTAAAAGAAATTGACAGCAAGCTTAAGAGCTTGGAAGGCGAGCAAAGACCAGATGATTGGTTCAAAGACGACGAGATTTGGAAAAAGAGAAGGGGGAAATCCTCCTCATTGAAGAACCAAAATGGAGCCAAAGATCGAGGATTGACTGGCTTAGGGGTGGCCACAAGAATACAAAACTCTTTCATTGTAGAGTATCTGAATGAAGACGGAAGAACACCATAAAAAAAGCTCCAAAATGAATATGGTCAGATCTTGATGGGGCAACAGGAGGTGAGTAGCTATATTCATGGTTCTAAAAAGCGCGCCTAGACACTCGTCTAAGCTCCTCTAGACGCAAGTTAGAAGGAAAACGCGTCGCTTTGACAAAAAGTAGTGGAGAAGGCGTCACAATCACATTGTGGCTTTGATCGAGCCTAGTCAGCATGGAGTTGCGCCTCAAAATGATGTCACGATGTCTTTTGATAGGCTACTAGGGAGGACGATCTTGATTTGACAAATAGTTAGGCTAGGATATAGTTAGAGACGAAAATATTTAGAGTAGCTTCTTCTTTCTTTTTTGCACTTCTTCTCTCAACATGCTTAGTTTTTTTCCAGCTTCTTCTTTCTTACTCATTTCTCTGAAGTAATGACTCAATTGGGAGGCTTCAAAAGTGAAAAATGAAATTGCAGGGCTGGAGCGAAGAGAGATTTGGTAAATTAAAGGAGAGACTAAAAGAAATTGACAGAAAGCTTAAGAGCTTGGAAGGCGAGCAAAGACCAGATGATTGGTTCAAAGACGACGAGATTTGGAAAAAGAGAAGGGGGAAATCCTCCTCATTGAAGAACAAAAATGGCGCCAAAGATCGAGGATTGACTGGCTTAGGGGTGGCGACAAGAATACAAAACTCTTTCATTGTAGAGCATCTGAATGAAGACAAAAGAACACCATAAAAAAAGCTCCAAAATTAATATGGTCAGATCTTAATGAGGCAACAGGAGGTGAGTAGCTATATTCATGGTTCTAAAAAGCGCGCCTAGACACTCGTCTAAGCTCACCTAGATGCAAGTCAGAAGGAAAACGCGTCGCTTTGACAAAAAGTAGTGGAGAAGGCGTCACAATCACGTTGTGGCTTCGATCGCGCCTAGTCAGCATGGAGTTGTGCCTCAAAATGATGTCACGATGTCTTTTTCTAACTTTTGATAAGCTACTAGGGAGGACGATCTTGATTTGTCAAATAGTTAGGCTAGGATATAGTTAGAGACGAAAATATTTAGAGTAGCTTCTTCTTTCTTTTTTGCACTTCTTCTCTCAACATGCTTAGTTTTTTTCCAGCTTCTTCTTCCTTACTCATTTCTCTGAAGTAATGACTCAATTGGGAAGCTTCAAAAGTGAAAAATGAAATTGCAGGGCTGGAGCAAAGAGAGATTTGGTAAATTAAAGGAGAGACTAAAAGAAATTGACAGCAAGCTTAAGAGCTTGGAAGGCGAGCAAAGACCAGATGATTGGTTCAAAGACAACGAGATTTGGTAAAAGAGAAGGGGGAAATCCTCCTCATTGAAGAACAAAAATGGCGCCAAAGATCGAGGATTGACTTGCTTAGGGGTGGCGACAAGAATACATAACTCTTTCATTGTAGAGCATCTGAATGAAGACGGAAGAACACCATAATAAGCTCCAAAATGAATATGGTCAGATCTTGATGGGGCAACAGGAGGTGAGTAGCTATATTCATGGTTCTAAAAAGCGCGCCTAGACACTCGTCTAAGCTCACCTATATGCAAGTCAGAAGGAAAACACGTCGCTTTGACAAAAAGTAATGGAGAAGGCGTCACAATCACGTTGTGGCTTCGATCGCGCCTAGTCAGCATGGAGTTGCGCCTCAAAATGATGTCACGATGTCTTTTTCTAACTTTTGATAGGCTACTAGGGAGGACGGTCTTGATTTTTCAAATAGTTAGGCTAGGATATAGTTAGAGACGAAAATATTTAGAGTAGCTTCTTCTTTCTTTTTTGCACTTCTTCTCTCAACATGCTTAGTTTTTTTTCCAGCTTCTTCTTCTTTACTCATTTCTCCACACTATATTTTATGTTTTACCATGTGTTGTTGATGAAAGTTTAGAAATGAGAAGTAGATGCGATAATATTTGGTTCATAAACTTGTGATTCCAAGAAAGTAGTAGATATTATGATGCGTTTACATCTAACGCTTAGGCACGCCTAGGTGACGCCTAAGCATGTTAGGCGCAAGGCAGATCCTCAACACTCGCCTTACGTCTAACGCTTTCTTCAACCTTGGTTGTCTTAGAGATCATTTTGTGGGGCTTTTAACAAATCAAGGGGATTCAGGAAGATCGAAGGTCGTTGATGCAATAAAACCCAGAGTTTTTCCAGAAATGAACGACTACTTGTGTCGGCCTTGTTCAACGGAGGAAGTCTACATAGCTCTGTACCAGATAGGGTCCCTCAAAACTCCTGGAAACGATGGTTTCCCAGCACTCTTCTTCAAATAAAATTGGGAGACCCTCAGGCCGCAAATCACCAGCGATCTTCTACACTACTTGGAAATTGGAAGCATACCTGCAGAACTCAATTTCACACTCATTGCTCTTATTCCTAAACGAAAGAATCTGAAGTCCCAAAGGATTGTCGCTGATGGCTCGATATTTACACATGTTTCGCTCCACCATTCTTATACCATTTGAGGCTCGGATCTCGGGTTTTGAGGCGATTTTATGCTAGGTTGTTCTTGTTTATGACATTTCAGGTCCTAATGCATGAATGAAGGTTTGACACGAGTTCGGGTGTCGATTGGGCGAAAACGGGACGAGCGATGGAGAGCAGACGCGTTGCACGGCCAGTCGAGGAAGACGCAGTGATTGAAATGAGAGAACTAGAGGGAGAGGACATTGGGACTAGGAGTTCGGTTCGGTTTATTTCGAACCAAACAAACAAAAGCAGTGAAGGTATGGCTCAATTCCAAACTGTAGGTGGTATTTTATAGTTCATGTTTGGTGTCGGGTAACCGAGTTAGATGCCCACCCCTAGTTCATGGGCTAGAGAAGGCACACAACTGAACAGGCCTTTCACCATCCTTGGACAATCCCAATACAAGTTAAAAGTCCAAGATTTACATAGGACTAAGGCTAACAAGCCCATACGAATTGAGCTGAAGAGCCCATTGTCTTCTGTCATTCATCTCCTCTACCTATCAATGTCTTGTGTCAACTCTCAGCTCTTCAACCTTGAAGAGGGTGCTCATTTTGTGGGTGTAAGCCAAAACGTATTGCATTTTGACGACTTTCTTTATTGATAGATGGAGAGTATAAATACACAAACTAGACAAGGAAATCGGCCTTAACAAATGACCGCAATCCCACTCTCCTACATAACTACAACATGACTAACAAACAACTAAAAACTAACTCAA